GAAAATATTCAACGCGGGCCGCGATGCTGGTAACAGAGGAAGAGGAAGGCCTCCTCTGCGTTGGAAAGACCAGGTGGAGAAGGACTTGGCTTCACTTGGCATTTTCAATTGGCGTCAGTTAGCACAGAAGAGAAATGACTGGCGTGCTGTTTTGGACTCGGCCAAAATCGCTTAGGCGGTTACAGCGCCAAATAAGAAGAAGAAGAAGTCTACGTACATATATTGGATTTCTTTAAAATAATTATAGGCATCCATTTTGAAATTGCTATACTATAAAGTTTCTGGGACAGAATCACTATAGAACCGGAAAGAGAAGAAGAAATTTTCTTCAAATTTATTTCGTTTTGCGATTAACCGTTCTATGAAATGCTGCACAGTTGGAGAATCTCAAGGCGGCAAACGACCACCAAACCATAATCTTACCAGATGAATGTGCCAATGAAAATCGTAAACGTGAATTGTTGGTGAAAGGGTTGAACCAAAATGTTTCAATGGAATTAGTTTTGGACGAAACGAAGATTGCCGGGTCTGCTAGTATTATAATTCATTTACTCATTCATTTACTTCATTTCTTATCATTATAATTAATTTACTCATTCATTTACTTCATTTCTTGAATTTTTTTAATATAATTTTCAAATAAATAACTCCCTTAATTGAAATTGAATTTGATTATTTTTATAGGTGGCAGCCCTCATTCATGAATAGATAATGATTTTATATATCTCCACACTAAGGAATAATACAAAGTCTACTGAGAAAATCGTCAAAATCTATGCTGTATAAGCTTTCCCAACTAACAATTTTCGTCTCATAAGACGCAATTGGTTTAGGAGAATAGTACCCTTATAATTTCACCCTGGTAGAGTACTACGAGTGCTTTATGAATACGTTGCCAGAATTAAATGGCGCATTTATGAGAGTTATTTTTGTCTTATAACATACGATAGTTCTCTTTGTAAGAGATACGTAAGTTTCATAAAAAAACTATTTGAATTTTTATGAGAGTATATATGCACTCTCATGACGGTATCATAATAAATAGCATAACTTTGGTGGTGTTATTTTTAGATTAAAGGTAATTACATAAGAATTAATTCATAGCAAATCGATAAGTTACATTTTCGATGGCAGAAATTAAAGTAGACTACAATTTCATATAAGTATTATAGACTTTTAGAAGTCAATTTTCGAAATTATAAGCTAAGATTCTATGGGGATAGAAATTTTATCGATAATAATGAACATTTTACTTCGAAAAAAAGTTAAGCGCCTCAAAAATAATCAAAATTTTGATTTTGTAAATTGTTATTTAATATAAAAAAAAAAAAATTTAATGCTTTAGTCCTGCTCAATATTTTGATTCAAATTCATGTATCTGCACTTATTATGAAAATATGAAATATGAAAAAGCGTAATATATTTTTACATACTAAACTGCTTAAGTTAGCTACATTTTTGGAATTTTGTTTTACTATAAAACCTTCAGAATAAGGAAATAAGGAGAATGGAAGATTACAGTGACACTGACGGATGGAACGTGGATACCTTAAAATCCCCACAACGCATAAAAAGAAATGTATGTTCCAAAGCCGCTAGTAATGGTGTTGACCATGATTTTAATGACATGCTTACCTATGCGCAGGTATATACTGATATTATTACGAAAAGAAAATATACATTAACAATTTTCCTCCTAGCAGGAAACGCTTGTAGAGCCACCATTACAACAACCACAACCCCATACTTTCACTGCTTTCACTTTACCATCATCACCGGGCTACCAATATCAGCAATCGCAGATATCATCATCGTACCAGCAACCAATACTACACGTACGCTTTTTTGAAAGTATAATATATTGTTAATAAAAGATCTTGTTATATAGCAATTATAAATTCCGTTCCTTACAGCAGTTACAATCCCCTGAGGAAGTCGCGGAAGTTGATATTCGCAGTTTACTAAAGAATATAAGTGAAAGTCTGATTCAAATCCAACAAAATCAGACTGTCATTATACGACATCTTGCGAAACAAAGTGCCTTCAAAGATATTATTATTAATCGCATTAACGATATAGAAAATCTATTTAATAACAATAAAAATTCTACCGTTGATACCGTTGAGGATAACAGCAGTGCAAGTTCTGCAGGCCTATTAGATGCTCCAATTTCGAATCAGGATGAAATCGACGAATTGGAAGAGTTGCTCTTAAAAATTATCGCAACATTCTTAGTGTTTTCAATTCGATAGTAAGATTGGCTGCGTCGGATTTCGATGAAAATAAAAGCAAGGAGTTTTTCGCAACAGTCCTTAAGAATGCCAAGAAAAGGACTGAAAATAATATCGACCGTATTCCTCGAACTTCTGCAAAGAAAGTATATAGTATACAAGGAAAAGTGAAAATGTTCCTAAGGGCAATGAGGTTCCACTAAAAGCTGCTGTACATGAGGTCACTGCTCCTGGTATTGGTAGCATTGCACCCACAGGTAATAATGTTGATGGTGATGTTGAAGGTGTTGAGGCAGATGAACATCTTGAAGCCTTAAATTAAATGATTAATTGAGTATATACTTTGTTTACTTACTTTTAAAATACAGTGTTTATTTTATAATTAAAAAAAAGACTGATGTACAGCCATATTGAAGTGCCTCAAATATCAAAAGTATAATTGACAAAAATTAATAAATACAAATAATAAATTCTTGCTCAATAGCCGAGGAAGCTTATTACACAAAAAGTATTAAAAGTTGCAAGAAAGCAAATGTTTATTAATCAATGAAAAAGTTGATGTTTATTTACTCAAAGACATTACTGTATTTCTTATTTATTTAATTTAATTATTTAAAAGAACTGTTAAAGTGAGTACTTTGTTTATTTAGTTTTAAATACAGAGTTAATATTATAATTAAAAAAATACTGATGTACATCCATATTATAGTGCCTCAAATATTAAAAGTATATTTGACAAAAATTAATAAATATAAATAATAAACTCTTACTCAAGGGCAGAGGAGGCTTATTACACAAAGAGTATTAAAAGTTGCAAGAAAAGAAATGTTTACTAATTGATGAAAAAGTTGATGTTTATTTACTTAAAGAAATTACTTTATTTCATATTTATTAAATTTAATTATTTAAATGAACTGATAAAGTGAGTACTTTGTTTACTTAGTTTTAAATACAGAGTTTATATTATAATTAAAAAACTTTTTATTTAGCAGTGTGAAGTAACGGAATGAAAACTGTTGAATTGTCGTCATATTTCACAGATAACAGTTTAAATTTAATATCTTTGAAGCTATATATCCGTGCTGCTTTTTCTTTGCAATCTGAGGATTATATATTGAGGAATGAAGAACGTATCGGCGTCTCTAAAAAACTTTCCTGATGTTGTAGACAGATATCTCTTTATTAGTTAATGTAGCATTCTTCACGCACACGATCTTATTTCCAGTTGTAAGAAACCATTTGTCCCGATTTTGGGGGCTTAGTAAAAAACCATTCGGCTGCTGAACTGTATTATTTTTTAAAATCGGTAATTCGTTATTAACATATTCACTAGCCTTTATTTGCAAATTACTAAATTCAGTTAGTCGTCTGGCTACCTGCGCCAAAGCCTTGTTTCCATACCGTAACATATTATTTATCTGTTACAATTTGCTTTCAAAAGGGTAAGCACTAAATGTTGATAAAATACCAAGTCTTTTTACATCATCAATAATATGCGACAGGTTATGCACATTACTAGTTATATGCTCTTCACCATAAATGTCTCTGTAGTATTCAATAAAGTGTAGGAACAAAGTATGAGCTATATCGAGATATGTACTGTATGCAGTTAAGGAGCATATTGTGACAGCACAAAAAAATACAAGGAAATGCTGGTATACATCGTGTGGTAAACGATCCTTCAGTATTACAACTCCTATATAATTAGGCTGTTCCTTTGAACTTCGGACTAAAACCTGTGGAACTGTCAAACTACAATTTTACTCTCTCAAGTGAGAGTAAAAGAAGAACAGATGCAGAAGTGCACGTGAACGCAAAAAGCACTATTTCCTGTAAAAACGTCAGCCGGTTTGTTTACATGTCATTTGTACAACACTGATTTGGCTGAAATATCACTAAATAATTAAAATCTATACACATTCAAACATTTCGTTGTTTACTTCCATTTTTTTACAAATATAAGGTTCTTTGCTTTCACCGCTTTTTGCTTTTGCTTGCACATGCAAATCAGCTGATCGTTTGACACTTACAGGAAAAAAAACTCCGGACTAAATCCTGTAACTTCTGATTAGGAACAGTTGCTCAGTTACTCTCTCAAAAGTGTTCCCACTTACAGGTTTTATGTCAATAGGAACGACTTCCTGTAAGTTCTGACTAAATCCTGTAAACCGGACTGCTATTGGAACAGACTAAATATAAGAATGTGAGATATTCCAAAGCTTTCCAATGTGCCAGGCAATCTAATCCCCTTAAAGCTCGATGAAGTTCTGAGGGCATTTTGATGTTTTGTAAGCATTGTGAAATGCCGTAGCTTTCCCTTGCACTCCATTTTGACCGAAAGTTAAACTTGCCACCTCTCCATCCAATCAAGAACTTTCTCATGATACCTAAATCAATTAAATACAGAGAATCTGCAACTGGAAAGTTATCAACAATATTTAAACCGGGCAGTTCTTCAAGCGAAGTGTTAACTTTATGGTGTGAATCATAAATCCTGTTACGAAATCCCTTCGTCTGTTCTTTTAATACATTCTGTTCTCGGGAAAATATTGGAATGTGAAACGTAAGAATATTTTCCGACTGTTGTACACTTTTGACATCCGTGTTGACCATTGAAATAAGTAACACCTATTTACATATTTGTGCAAAGACCCGCTTAATATAAAATATATATACATATATATATATAAATATCCTTTTTACCTTTTATAAAAGCCCGTGCTGGAGAGTCACCTATGAAAGAGTGGATTTTAACGGCAACTTTATGCTGTCCATTGATGGTAACTCCATTGGTCAGGACTTCTTTCGCTTCATCCACAAACGGTCGTATGAACAACTCTAGACTGAGTGGTTTACCTTTGCCACTAGCCGTGGGTAACACAGTGCGGCGCCGCGCCATTGCGCTGATACCGAGAGCTGAGTTACTGGCGCCGATACCGATTGTCACAACTTAGTGACGCAATGACACCATCAACACCCGAACACGGACAACACCGGGCGGCGCAAAGAACACAGCGAAGTGTCACTTGTAAAATGTGCCGCACAAGGCGAATTTTTACAAGGTGGTGTGGTTAAAATTACCCGCGGTCCTTCTGAATGTGAAAATTATGTGTTTGTTGTATTTTTGGGTTTTGAACTTGGGTATATTTGAATTGGTTTTGCCCAACCGATACCACCTTGTATTAATTCAGCTTAGTTCAACACCGGAACACTGACAACACCGGGTGTCGCAAAGAACCAGCAAAGAACACCCGAAATAGAAGTGTCTCTTGTAAATTGTGCAGCACAAGGCGAATTTATACAAGGTGGTGTTGCTAGAATTCGTCGCTGTCTTCTGAATGTGAAAATGATTGGTTTGTTGTATTTTTGGGTTTTGAACTTGGGTATACTTGAGTTTTTTCTCAACCGATATAACTATAACCTTGTATTAATTCACTTTAGTGCAGCGTGCAGCAATAAAGGAAATGAGCTTTATCCTGAAGAGGCGCCATTGCGCCAACACACTGTGCTAATTCCGACAATGGCGCTGAAGGTAGTGTGTCAGCGCCAAAAAATTTGCGCCGTTACCCAGGCCTATTTGCCGCTATAGATACCGATGACCATTGGTTCTTCATATATATTAAATAAAATGGGCCAGAACTCCTCTCTGGAACTCTTATATATTGGTAAGCCATCAATGTTGATGTTAATGGAAATTCCTAACGATTCTTTGATATTGGCAAAACATTGTTGTAAACAAAATGCAAGCCCTTGGTGCCAATATTGGGCACCCAAACCGACTGCCTGAATTGTAGTAACAGTTGGTATTTGTACCAACGTTCTTGCATCTTTTGGCAATGAATCAGGGTTTCGTTTATTACATATTTGTAACAATCGTTTTAATGCTTGGTGCCTTATAATAAACAGAATTGCCCAATTTTTTAATTCAGTTCCATAAACTTAATTTTTTTTAACCCAGTATCGATTATCTGGTATTCCTCATCATCATATTGCTGAAAGGGAATACAACATTTAATTTAATTACTTTTCGTGTTAATTACATGCCATGGTGCTTTTATATTATCAAGAGAAATTTCTGCATCGTGACCTTCATTCGAGTTGTTCTGAATATGATTACAGCTGTTATATTCTGGACGAACAGATTTTTGATATAAATTGTCCGCAGACCGCGCACTATTTTTAGAATATTGTTTAAAATTTGCAGTAACTCTTTTATTGGCTGTAACACTCTTGGACGTGTTATCTTTTAATTTAAGGCACATCTTCTGAATTTTCCTTCGCAAATTAGTGGATCTTTTAACTTTTTTCCAATTAAACTTATCCATTTTGACGGATCAACCCTGAAACAAGGTATGTTGGCTGACAGAATATTTTTCTTGATATAAGTGCGCTCTATTGTAGTGTTTATGAGAATAATGATTCTTTTCTACTCATAAGAGTTTTCTTATACGTGTTTTAACATTTTACGTCTCATAAGGGCATATTTATAAGTTGTTTTATACTTTATATCTTACAAGAGTTTTCTTATAAGTATCATAACAATTTACTACTCATATGGGCATTTTTTCAAGAGTATAACTCGTTGAGAGTTGAAGTTTTATAAAAAAGGTACAAGATGGTCTTATTATGAGATTTAAAGGCTTACTAACTCTAGTAGCATTATTATCTCACAAAAAATAGTACTATGAGACCTAAATTAAGTCTTTTTACAAGAATTATGTTATGAGTTTATCCAAGTATGTTAAAAGAGTCTTATGAGATCTTTTCGTAATTTGTAAGAGTTTTGTTCTGGAGAGTTGGTTAGTTGGGATTATCTCTTATACCACTGATTGTTCAGATACCAGTTTTTGCGATATACATATCCTTCATGTAGGAAGCGAAACCCATTAAATTGTGTTACCGGTTTACATACCGGTGCAGTGAAAATCACTTAGATTGGTGCTATATAAGGTATATCTTCCATACCTCTGATTGTTTAGATATGCTTTTTTATATATCTATGTGTGAATATATAAATTTTTTCAAATGCAGTAATCTGCTAAAGTAAAATTTTCAGATGTTCATGAAAGGTATGAAGCATTCGGCATAGCCGAAGACCGCGCTGCTCTTACTTGTTTTATTTTAATAATGAAATTTAAATTGTTTCTTTGTTTTAAATATTGTTCTATTACTTCTAAACAGAAATTTGCAAAGGCCAATAAAACCATATTGGCTTTATTTCCATTTCCAGTTGGTATGGAATTACTTTCTTCCTAGGAATAAGATTTTAATTTTTATTTTCAAATTATTCAAGGGTTAGAAAGAAAATTTGATATTATATCTCTATTCATTAAATTTCGTTAAAAATCACCGTAGTAAGTTTAAGTAACAAATAGTATAGATGAATTTAGTGACAAAAATCCTCGCACAATATCATACAGCGATAAATATATCCAACGCCTTTGCTTCAATTTTGAACCGCCTTGGCAGTGCATACGAATAATATTCATACATATTTGTGCAACTATTGTTCAAAAGTTATCTTTCGCAATTAACTTTAAAACTGTTAAATTGTTTCCTATTTAGATTACCAAAGTGCTTACATAGATTTCATGTTGAAAATGTTTAGGTAAATTGTAAATATAGACTAAGGAATACAAAAGCCACCAAAATAACTACTTAAACTTCATCTCCTAATTCTCACCGAGCTCATAATGGGTTAATCTTATTACAACCATTTACTAAATTACTTTATACACATAATTTGTATGCAGTTACTCGTGCGCTTTTTTCACCAGGACTGAATAATATCTTTGCTTGCGGGTTATATACGCGGTGATTTTGTTTCTTCAATACTCAATGGGGTTAGGTTCGCGTGGTTTTCGCGAGTATTTTAGGCCTAGCGTGTCACTTATCTCATCGATGACTTCAAGTGCATAGTCTAATTGTTCTTTGGTGTGTGCTGCTGAAAGGCAGTAGCGTATACGCCCCTCCATTATTGGTGTTGCTGGAAACCCGACACCAACAACGGCGATATGGCGTGTTGTCAATGTGCGCACAACGGCACTAAAATAAGTAAAAACAAATTAAAACATTGCAAATACATCAAGGGATGGCAAACAAATGCCTCAAAGCCTCACCCTATTTTCGAAAACAAGTACACCAACATGGGTACCACAGGCGAATCCTCGTGCCCATAAGTGATAACACCCATTTGTGCCAAACGGCGACGGAAATAGCGTGTATTCCGCGCCAACTGATTGATCTTCCTACGACCAGTATCGGTGCCATCCTGTCCCATTATAATGCTCATCGAAGTGTAAATCTGCTGAGCAATGGGAGGTGACATGCTACTGGCATAACAATGTGCATGACTGTTTGTGCGCAAAAAGTCAATTAGTTGCTGCAAATAATGTTTCAAAACACAGATTCACTAAATACGAATCTCAATGACTCGCAAAATTAAGCATACCTTCGAACCGGCTAAATAGCCTCCAGCGCTACCGAAACTCTTCGTGAAAGTGCCCATCAGTATATCTACATCCTTAGGATCCACGCCAAAGTAATCAACAGCACCACCTCCATTCGGGCCCATGGCGCCAATACTGTGTGCTTCATCTAAATACAAGTAAGCTTTGTATTTCTTTTTAAGAGCAATAATCTCTGGCAAACGCACGACGGAGCCCTCCATACTGAACACACCTTCCACCAAAATCATTATCTTCTTCCAGGGTTTGCCTCTCTCTTTCGGATTGCCATGGACCACATTATATCGAAGCAGCCGCTCCAAATCGCTCATATTGTTGTGCTTAAACACCTTCGTTGTGGCTCCCGATAGCCGTAGACCCAAAATGATCGAGGCATGGTTCTTTTCATCGCTTAACACAAGGCAACCTGGTGAAATCAGGGAAGGCAAATTAAGCGCGTTCGTGGCAAATCCCATCCCAAATACAATTGCATCTTCTACACCTAAATAGCGTGCAGTCAAACACTCCAAGTCCAAGTGCAGTTGTGTTGTGCCTAACTCAACTCGTGACGAAGTCATTGCCAAACCCATTTCCTGGGCTGTATTTTCGGAATCCTGTGCACAAGGACCTTGGGCATCAGCGAACCCCAAATAATTATAAGATCCCAAATTCAAGCAAAGCGTCTCAGTTCCAGTAAATTGAAAGCTCCAGCCGTAGTCGTTAGTCACACGGTCTTTGAGAGTAACCTCCGCAGCGGGCACACTGCATATCGGGCGATTCCAACAATCACGCACACGTCGATACACATAGCGCGAGTAGAAACTCTCAAAGGCATCATAGAGTGTTACATAGCCATCACGGTTCTCCTCCTTAGCGACCTTTGGCACAAAGAGCAACTGGTTTATATAACCAAGAATCATAAGCAAATAGAAGCCTAAATATGTGAGACAGGCAGTGTGAAGAGGTACTTCCTCGAAGGATGTCTTGCGTATGTGTTCCGCAGCAATCTCTGAAAGTTTTTTCGCTGGCGTGATTAGTGGCTGATTGCAGTTATCATTAGCCTTGACATAGTGGATATCTTTACAGTTCTGAAAAAAGTGAAAAGGAAAGTAGTCATAAAAGTACGTTGTTCTTTAGAGAACAATTGCAAATAAATGTAAGCAAAAATTTTTATGTATGTATTTGTAAACCATTAACATAGCAGCTTATTAGATATGTTCGTCAAAACGTACAGAAAGAATTATCCATTATAAAAATTTTAGAGAGTAGGAAAAAATTCTCTCTCAAATAGAGAAAGTTGCAATTTCTGCACGAACGCACATTTTCCAGAATTCGCAAGCTTCACTACCAGGCTGGTGTCCATAGTTGCATTTCAAACAAAAAAAAATTTATGGATTTTTTAAAATTCTTTCTGACAGACAAAAACAGGACCTATATGTATATTTCTTCTGATTAATACTTTCTTTTTGTAGTCCCTATGGGGTTTCCAATATCGACTGTGGTTTCAGCTGCATTTCGATTATGAATACAGCCTTTTCAGCAGAATATCTTTAAAATTTATGGAAATAACTAAATTAATTAAGTGAAGAAATAGTTTCTTACTTTTTTCATTTACAAATGGCAACAAGTGTATACATTTTCAAATTAAACGAATTTGTTGTTGAAACAAAAAACGTCGAGACACGTAAACTTAATTATGGTTAAAGCCTGTTCTGTTACCAAAAAATTAAGCCACTAACGATGAAAATCAGTGGACAAATAAATCCCTTTTGAATGGTCAAATGAATATGTGTAATAATTTTTAATATGAAATAGAAGCAGGAAATAATGTTACTCATACGTCATATCGTACATGACCGTACTCGTACATAATCGTACTTGGCGTATGAGCAGGGCTGCCAATTTAGCTATTTTCCCGTCAAATCTGGGCTCGAATCGCAACAAACGATATCGTACTACCTGTCACGTAAAAACACATTTTTCGGATGATGAAATACGTAAACGTACTCTTTGTCCCATTCAGCTTATGCTGCCTGACGTATCACGTAATTTTCTTTCGTATCGCTTTCGATCCGTGAACGGACGTTACGATGCGAGACCTGGCTTTTTCAAAGCCCATTTAGCGGCAGGAAATGAGAAATTGCGGAAAGCGGGAAATCCAGCCTTTTGAGAATTTTTTTTTACGGATTTTTAGCCTTTTCCCTTATGCATACATATGTAATTAAAATTACCAGATTATTTCGATGCGATTAAAAAAGTTAATATGAGTTCTGTGGGCAATGTTCTAAAACATTTAAATTACAGAGATGAAATGATGGAAAAAATAATAATTCTTTTTAATAGAATTTGTTTAAAGGACTTGGATCCATTTAAATCGCAATGAATCACTGTCGACAGTAATTGAAAAGCATCCCTGCAAACTCCTTTTGTAAAGCATCCCTGTCTGCATTCGAAGTCGCCACTGGATGCCTTCCAGTGTTGAGTAGGTATAAATGCAGCGATCGCATTTGAAACCGGTCTCTTTTCATTTTCGCAACATCATCACCTGGATGTCAGACAGCGAGGGAGCTTTGCCTAAAACAACAACACGTGGGAATTCGCCTTTTCTATTTACAACAATCATATCGACGTGGGAAACTGCATATACGTAAAACCAATCAATTTTTCTTATATTTAAAATCAACCCTTTCTAAATATTTAAATGAATGTAATTACTACGATACCTGAATTTAATGAAGTAGTGTTAACTTTAAACTGAATTAAAACTATCATTGTACGATTCATATTGAAAATCATTTGCATACAGTCCATTCGCTTTTTTATAATATTATTCGCTGTTCATTCATTCAGTATATAAGTTAAACTTTGTAATTACAAGTACATATTGAATTGAATTAAAGTACACTATAAAACCCAAAGCAAAACACTACGCTACGCAACACTAGACCACAACTGTCATTTTGCACATCATCTTTCTTTCTTTGTCGGCGACCAGCAGCAAATACCTAACAGCAGAAACAGCGAACAGCAAAAAATTTAAATTTCGTCTTGAGCTCGCTGCAACGAGGGAAATCATTTGTTCAGCAAAACGCAACCACAAAAAAGTTTCGTGAGAAGTTAAAGCCTATACTTTTTAATAATCTGTTCGGAGGAACGAATAAATATTTGCAACAGGCGCACGCAAAAATTCAGTGCCCAACGCGGGACTACTCATATCGCAAGGAAACCTTCCTCAACAAGCGCCCATCCAAGCATTAGCGCTCACCGTGGGACTAAACTCCAGCATAGTCAATTGGAAATAATCAACGTGCGCACATCGCGGGAGCCTCCAATATTTGCAACCTGCTTACATACAGTATCGGCATGCGCACATCATCGGTGGAATCCTTTTACAAACAAAATGAGAAGTATCAAGGAAAAATCGTAAGTCTGTGCATTCATATACATATATATTCGCATATATATTTTGTCAGATATACTTACGTACCAACTGTACAATCTGCATTAACC